GGGGGAGAGGTGGAACTCTCGTACTTATCGCTGCATTTATACCCAATTACCCCGTAATCCTCGCTTTGCCCCGCGCTCACAGTCTCCGCGTCTTTAAGACCCGCCCCGTCTCCTTAATCGTCTTATCGCGACCTTTAGCCGCATCACTCGCTTCGTCGTCTTGCATAGAGCCGTCGGTAGCCACGTGGGTGAGCGAATGGTACTTTGGGGTGTTCCAGTTGGCACTCACTAAAGCCTCGGGAACTAAGGCTCTTTTTAGCCTTCGAGATACTCTACCCAAACGGGGTCACTCAGTTATGACGGTAGAGATCAGAATGGAATGGGGCTAGAAGCGTTTATCTGTTTGAGTGTGTGTACTCGGCTGTTTGACGCGGATCTAACTGAAACAATTCATATACAGTATTAAAGGCCCAACTCAAATGGGTTTAATGGAACCAAAGCCTGAGTTAAGCTCAGACTTCTTGCTCTCAATAAATTCCAAATAATGCAGAATTCGTACGTGCGTTTCGTGGCCTTATCGTTGTATAACACCTTTGAGCTTATACATCTTCTAAATGCGTGTTGACATATATGTTCCATCAATGAGCGAATGTTGATCACTATACACTTGAAATATTTCAATTTGGACCTTTCAAGAAAAAATCTATCTTCTATATTTTTTCGTTCAACGATTTTATTAAGAGCATATTTGGCAAATGTAAATATCACAATATACAACCATAATGGAAAAACATTATCGAAGGAAATGAGTGATAGATGAAAAACGAGAAAATGATTATTATTTTCCCATTTCTTGCAAATAACAATAAACCGTTTCGCGAAACATTTTAAACTAGTAATATTTGAAAACACTTCATCGAGATATAGTGTTTCACAAAATACGAAGAAATTGTTCATAATATTTTTATTTTTGAAGGAATTGAATTATCTTTGATTTTTGAAATGGAACTATCTAGTTTTCTCATCTGCAATGAATATCTCATAAAAAGAGGAATACAATTATCTTTTTAATGTTTTAAAAGCAATATCAGGGGAAAGCGATATTTTTCTGTCATGTGATTTGGAATTACGCAGTACTGCATATTCTTTTCGTTGCTTACCAGACTCACTCAATAATCGTCACCTTTGAGTCAAATGTTCTTGTCCCTTTCATTCTTTTCGTCGAATCCAGTTCATTGAATCGCCAGCCATTATTATTTCGTCTATTTAACAAGTGCTTTTATTTAACGCTAAAAAACAATTTTTTTAGCGTTTTAAGCTCACTGTGAAATTTATATAATTCTATTACTAAATACTTTTACTTAATATATATTTCCAAAACTTTTTCTAATTCAAAGTTATTTTTTGTTATTTGTTGAAATAAAATAATTCATCTTGATACACTTTCACATTTTGAATTGAGGGGAGGGGCTACCTTTCAGCATTGCCCTGGTCCCAAAATTGCCTAGCTCCGGCACTGAGAAAAACTCGAAATCCTTTGAGTGCGTCAGATCGTAATTCGCTTCTCGGCAATTTTGTAGAAGGGCGATCAAAAAAAAAAAAAAAAAAAAACTAGTTCTCATTTACAAGTACATTTAAATGCCTCACCGTACCAAGTGAACTAGATAATTATAAAGGTAGCTTGTATTAGTTATATTTCTTTATATAATGTGTTATGTGTATTGTTCTATATTATAATTGATTTACAGAATATTTGCACCTTTAATCTTGTCGTAGTTAATTTTTTCTTCACATTCGACGCAGAAGATGCACTGATTAGTGTAGCAATGAAGTGAAAATATTTTCTCGTTTCTATAAATATATACAATGAGACTACTTCACTTACCTCTGATAAAGAAAATGTAATATTGTACACCATTTACCACTATTCTTGGTACTCCAATAGGGTTACTGGGAAGTTATCAAGGTATTTTACTTCTTTTTATACGAGTAGAAACGTCTGTCAGTTAATTTATTAATCTGTTGCAGCCATGAAAATTGTTATATTTTTAGAGTATGATGAACACCATAATATCGCTTCGTATTGATTTGAATACACTACCCTTTTCACAAATGAGACATCACAGCTCTCCTCCTTCACCATTGGGGCTAGATAGATAAGAATTTAACAGTTTCTCTCTCCGCTTCAAATGTGTAATAACATTTACGTTTATTTTTTGTCGATATTTCGCGTTTCTGTACACGCTTTCTCACAGCTCCTGTTTATCCCAGAACGCTCTCAGCTACTGTTATCTTTGAAGGGAATGGATGGGAACTGTCGAATTGCACGCGGGCACTACTATCCGAACTGCGAGCTTCCTACATACTAAGGCAGGGTCAGACACCGTCGCCCGAACTTTACGAGTATTCCTTGTTTTTGTTGTACTTCTGTATTCAGGCTTGATAATTAACATTGTAAAGAAGCAAAGATGTTTGAAGAAGAGAAAATGTGAGAGAGAAATTAATCACAAAATGTTGAACGTGAAACAAAAGTAGGAAAGTATTGAAAGAAGTAGACGAGATTGTATAATACAAGAAAAGAAAATCATAATTGTTTGGAAACATGTTCAGATATAATTATTTTCTGAAGAATGTATTCCTGCAAGTAAAATGCAGGCTATATTCACGAAGAATGTAATCAAGCAACAGATGATATCCAAGGTTAGTGCTAGAGACAGAAACACAATGTCTACGCTAACCACGAAATGGACCTCTACCGAACGGAAAAGGCAACGTATGTATTAATACAAAACTTCTCGACTTGATTATTATACAAAATTCACACTGACAGCAAAAAAAGGCGAAAAAAGAAGCTTGTTTTGTCACTATCAAATGACACATTTATGCACAAAGATAATAATGCCCGCCGGTTTGGAACCGATCGTCGAAAACGAAGTTATTGTTCAAACCTCTTGAATTAAGAAAACCTCTATTTCCTTCTCCTACTGAACCGAGGAAATGAGAGAAAATTCAATAGACTGAAGAAGGAGTCCAGTATTCGCAGGAGAGCTGGGGAGGCTTGGGGCTCCTTCGCGAGTATATTACAAGTCGAGGAAGCATAAACGTCTGCGATTGAAGCCTCAAATTGCTCGCCTGAACGGTCGGCCGCACGAGAGGCTGAGTGGATTTACCGCAATCCTACGAGACGAATTTCTTGGACGGAGAAGGGAGAGAACCCGAAGGAAAAACAGGGTGCAGGCGAACGGCTGTTCGGCTGTTTCACGGCCTCCTGGACTGGAACGGCGGGGCAGGTTCCTCACGGCCCCCTGGATGCAAGGTCGTCGTAACGGCGCGTCTGCCATCTCGAGCGCACCAAACGAAATTTGTAAATGGGATTGTCGTTGGATTCGTGCATCCGTAGACCTCATTTCGGGAGGAGAAATGAGGTAGTTCCTTTGTTTGATTGTTTATCCGATAAGAGGCTGAGAGATGGAAAGGGTCGAGATGGAGGGATCTGGGGAACTCGATGATGGAAAACACAGCAAACTCGACGCTCTAGAGATAAGCATACGAACGACATCATACGTGGCCGGTAAAATGTGCTCCTAGCAGTACCAATGAAAATCACTTCACAGGAAGAAAGGATGCAATATCGGAAATATTATACCTTTTTTATTTTTCACCAATATACGTAAAAACATTCCAACTTTTCTACGTATGAACATACAGGACCGACCACCTAAGGCCATAACAAATATCTTGAAAACAGTTTGAGGTACCGAGATGCTCTTTGAGCCATGTTATTGCAAATGATGGGCGTAATAACATATTTCATTATTTTGTTAATACCGTATGTAATTTTAGAGATATTGACACAATCTCGGTTTTCTAAATGGAAGTATATTGTTTTTCTCCAGTATTCTACAGTTTAAAAAAAAATGAAACGCAAATATACAAACAATAACAAATAATAACAATAACAATAACAAATATACAAATAATAACAATGTTTATACATTGTATAAACATTGTTAATATTCGGAAAGTATTTTTTACAAAAACAGTGCAATTAGAACTTGGTAAACGCCATGCTGCAGCGCACAAGGACAACTGATCTTGCTGACATCGTATATGTGAATCAACCCACCTTGTAGGAAAACGAGAAATTTCGCCGATAACGGGACTTCC